GTCGCCCCACAGATTGGTCCTGATCCCCTGCCAGGCCTAGGGATCCTACCCATGCATGAATTTCATGTATGGGGCCTTTAGTTTAAAATAAAGAAGGGAACGTTAAGACTACAGCAAGAAAATGTCTGATAAGTAACTCCTTAAGAAGTGATTCACTTTAACTCAATTTAAATAGTATTCTTTGAAACCAAAGAGTTATCATGACAATCCATTTCATTACAAATGTTAAAATATAAAATTTTACCTCCAGATCCTAACTGCTTGTAGAATCTATATTCCAAATGTAGCTGTGGTGCTCTGGATTTCATGGGTTCCTAATTAAAAAACAAACAACAACAAGTTATTAAAAGATCATTAGGCCCCAATTCCAAATGTTATTAATCTTGGTGTCAAATCTGAGATAATTAATATTTTAGTAGGCATCTTTGTCTCTCTAATGTTAGATCAACTGTACATGTATTTCAATGTAAAATAAATTAATGTCAAAACCATACATAAGATTACGTGGCTTTTAGATCCATCACTAGGGAAATTTATGTTTGCCTCTTTGACCCTGAAGAAAAGTATATACCAAACATTCATGACTTGGGGAATGGTGACCCTTACTCTATTTCAGCGGTTCTCAACCTGTGGGTCACGACCCCTTTGGGGGTCAAACGACCCTTTCATAGGGGTTACGTAAGACCATCAGAAAACACGTATATAATTACATATTGTTTTTGTGATTAATCACTATGCTTTAATTATGTTCAATTTGTAACAATGAAATTGGGGGTCACCACAACATGAGGAACTGTATTAAAGGGTCACGGCATTAGGAAGGTTGAGAACCACTGCTCTATTTCTTTTGTTTCTAGGAATTCATCTTGAACTGTGTATTTCTTATATAAAAGTTCTAGGTTAAAATGAACTCACAGAAAATAGGAAAGAACAAATATGAAGATAAATTTTTGACAGTAACAACAATGTATTTTTTAAATTTTTTTACTTGGGATAAAGCTTAAATAAAACACACAGTTCATAAGCATTAGGTCCATGAGCTTTATTAACTGTATATACCCCAGCAACTAGCATCTCAAAAAATCTTTAGAACATTTTATCATCCTTCCCTCCAAGTAATCACTTTTTGACTTCTATCACCTTTGGGTTGGTTTTGTCTGTTATTGTATTAACTAGAGGCCCAGTGCACGAAAATTCGTGCACTCAGCGGGGGGGGGGGGAGGGTCCCTCAGTTTGGCCTGTGTTCTCTCGCATTCCAAGTCCCCTCGGGTGATGTCCACCTGCTGGCTTAGGCCCACTCCCCAGAGGATCGGGCCTAAGCTGACAGTTAGACATCCCTCTGGCAGCCCAGGAGCCCTCAGGGGATGTCTGACTGTGGCCTGGCTTGTGGCTGAGTGGAGCTCCCCCTGTGGGAGTGCACAGAACCTGTGTTGAGTATCTGCCTCTTGGTGGTCAGTGTGCATCATAGTGACCAGTGCTTCCAGTCATTCCACCATTAAGGTCAATTTGCACATTACCCTTTTATTATATAGGATATTGAAGATATTACACAGTATATGTTTTACATGTGTTTAGTAAACTAAATACCAAACTATGATGTGGTATTTGCAGATTTTTAATATTTCCTACAACTTTTGTGATATTATACTATGTTAATACAGTTTTGGTAATGTTATTATATTTAAAATCTTTTTTTCTTGAAATCTTGTTTATTGCATGTAACATTAAAATTGTTTTTCTTGAACTATTTTTAAAGAGATTAAAAAAAAATTTCTGTCCTGTCAATATAATTTTGAATTTGAGGTGAACATGTCTCCCTACTATACTTCAATCTCAGAATACCAAACATAGCTACAAAAATATTCCCAGTTCCTCTAAAGAACACTGCATAACCAAAATTATTATATGTCATACTCTGATCACTATGTTTTAAAAGGTAAACAGAGGAAGAATGTAAAAGAGAAAAGTAAGAAAAATAATTAAGGGGATAGTAACATAGCAGGAAGATGCAGTAAAAAGATGACATATGTATGTATATGTAAAGAAGGACAAAAGATGACATAATAAATGTTTACTAATCAATCAATGGTGTCAAGAGGATAAAAAGGTTCCAAATCTGAAATAACAGGACCTAACGGATACCACTTTGTGACTAAAATAGACTAGCAAACGTCAGCCTAGTGCAGTGGCTGCTGTTTTGACACAATGGTTTATTTCCCTTAGCATATCAGTTAAATATCATTCACAAACTTCCTTGAGTGGACCTGCTCACTACAGGGTGCTGCATCATTAACACAGCATATGGATGTTACTACACTTCTATTCTTGTGCACCACCCCCACTCCCAACACCATACAATGTTTACACCCTAGACAACTGGAATAGAACATGGAAAAAGAATCCCAAAGAAACAAAAGTCGGCAATGCCCATTCAAACACTGTCCAGTCCCTGCATCCTGTATCTTCTCATTGTGATTCATACACACTAACTCCTCCTGTACAGATTTCATGATCAGGAGGGAAGCTTGTCATTTTAACTTGGCAATCTATGCAGATCAGCCTATAGAAAGTAAACATTATTTATACTGATTTGGGCATTCTGAACCTGTAATAGTAAAATACTTCATTATAAAATTAGAAATTAACTCTTCTTAAATTTTTCTGAGAGCTTGATTGATTGCATGAATTTATTAAATCTACCTCTGATTAACAGTGACGATGGTAAAGAGATGACCTAACCAGATATTCTGACATAAAGCCAAGGACCAGACCTTAAAACCAAGGTGAACCTCTCCAGGTAAATGCCAGTCCAAACTCACAAGTCAGCCAGCCAGTCTTAGAAGTACCACACCATACATCTTATTTCCCAGTGAAAATAAACATTTGTTGCAAAGAAACTTGGCCTATACTCACAAACATACTTTAAGTACAGTTTTCTAGCTCATCCCAAAAGATTTTCTATTTCCCCCCACTTACCTCTTCTCTAATCATCATCTTACATTACCTTAATACAGTGGTTATATTGGCAAGCACAAAATTGAGAATGGCAGGCAGACTGGAAAAACCCAGGCATGGAAACATGGCTGGCAAACCAGATAGAAAAGCTGTGCCAAAGAAAAGTTATGTCTTATAAAAACTCCCAGATCCCAACTCTTCCAAAAAAAAAAAAGAGATGCCTTACAGCTGTCAAACTGGGCACATTTAGGAATTCAGAACAGTTCCATGGGAGTCTGCTTTCCTTGCTGTTCTCCACCCACATCAAGAATTTCTGAATTCCCCAAAAGTCAAGCAATAGCCAGCTTTACCATATATAAAACATCAATGGAAGAAGAGATTTTAAAGCTACCTGGAAATACTGCCATAGATTATAATCCTAAGTATTAAAAAAACTTTTGTTCAAATACTTGAATCAGAAAGAGAAATCTTGCTTTCTAATTTTGATCTAAATAAAATGTCAATATGCCAGCTTCCTTAAGTGAAAAATAGTGCCCAATTTCAAAAATTCAATTCTGTGATGTTACCAAAGTAGAGGGATTGAGTTTCCATGGCACAGAAAGATAGAAACATCCTATACATTGCTATATACTTAAACACTCGAGTTATAAATATGAAAATAAAAAAGTAACTAAAATATTAAGTTAATCATTAAAGAAATAGGAATTAAGGAAAAATAAGACACATGAACTTACCAGTTTAATTGCCACATATTCATTTGTATATAAATTTTTCCCTTAAAAAAGAAGGAAAAAAATGTCAAATTCTACCAGTAATTAATTCTTAAAGCTATATTATATAAACCTTTATTCGGGGGGGAAGGGGGGAGAGGAAGCACAAATATATTTAGAGGAAGCACAGGTTTCTTCCAACTACTTAGGAAAAACCTCAATGATGAGGAAATACTACAATTCAATGACACATTTACTATTTCATATGAATTCAGAGTAGAAAGTGATACTAATAAATACTTCAGCCCACTTACAAAAATGAAGAGAACCTTATTTTGTTGTAATACTGTACACAACTCATAAGGTAATCAATAGTCAAACACATGCTAAACTAATTTTCAAAACCAGAACTCCTATATAAAAACAGGAATACAAAATCCCTCTCCTAATCACCACCTCATTTTAAATCCATTATTATCTAATGTAATCTTATTGGGGTTCATATGTAATACAAGTAAATAGAATACCTGGAAAAAAATCTGTAATATATTAAAAATAGAAAAGAGTATTATCCAATAATTAGCTCTAATAAATTAGCTAACTACTTTGAGTGAAAAAAGTTATTAGCACCTTACTATACAACCAAATTAAATTCCAATATTTTAAGAGTTAGATATAAGGCACAAAACAAGAAAAAATATTTTTTAATTTTTTAATTTTTCAATTACAGTTGACATAAAATATTGTATTTGTGTCAATTGTACAACATAGTGATTATACACTTACATACCTTAGGAAGTGATCCCTCCCTAAGTCTAGTACCCATCTGAGACCATACATAGGTATTATATTATTAACTATATTCCCTATGCTGTACTTTTATCCCCATTAATTGGCAGTTACTATTTTTATAACTACCAATTAATACTTCCTAATCCCTTCACCTTTTTCACCCATCACCCAACTCCTTAATCTGGCAACCATCAATTTGTTCTCTGTATCTATGAGTTTGTTTCTGTTTTGTTTGTTTATTTTGTTTTTTCCCACATGTAACTGAAATCATATGGTATTTGTCTTAATTTGACTTCTTTCACTTAGCATAATGCTTGGTCCATCCATGTTGTTGCAAATGGCAAAATTTCATTCTTTTTTATGGCTAAGTAACAATTCATAGAATATATATGTTCCATATCTTCTTTATCCATTCTTCTATCAATGGACACTGAGGTTGTTTCTGTATCTTGGCTATTGTAAATAATGCTGCAATGAACACAGGGGTGCATATATCTAAAATAATGTTTATTAGCCCAATATATGGAAGTTTCCAAAGTACTAAAAAATGGAAAAAAGTAAAAGGTCAGAAGATTTTTATACAGATTTGATTACGTAAAATATTTTACATTTCTGAATGTTAAAAAAAAAAACTACCATAAACAAAGAACAGGTAAGTAACAAGCCACAATAAAGATTTAATATTATTATTATTATGTAAAGAATTCAAATAAATTATAGTAATCTTTGCGATGGTGTACTGAAAATAATCTAAAAAGGCGCAATGGGTAAGCATCCGTAGCCCAAGTAAAATACTATGGAGAATTTTAAAAACAATAAGTACATGAAGACAATTTGATATATAAATTAATGTTTCTTTGCAAGTACAGTAAAAATAAGAAAAAGAATACATGATTTCTGAATTTCTAGTATTTTTCTCAATAAGCATGTAGTATTAAATTTATGGCAAAAACAATGTTATTTTTCTTGTATTATTTTTAAAAGACAGTGTTGGGTTTTTATTACAACTGTTACAGTAAATAGCCCTGATCACATTGGCTACAGAACACAGAACAAGCAAGCATCAACTTTCACACGTGATTTTCCAGCATTAACACACCTAACTTCTTTTTATAAAGCAGCTGACAAATGGCAATAAACTTCTAAGCAAAATTTCAGTCTCAGATATATTGCTGCTATTGAGTTTCTATACCTATTTTATAAAAATAAATCATAAAAAGCATTCATACTAAGTAATATGCCTCATAAACCCATTACAGTTTGCAGAAAGATGGAACTTAATAGGAATACCAAAAGTGGCGAACATTAAGCTGTATTCAGATACTTATTGAGCCCATAAGTATTTAAAACATATACTAGAAAACATGTTTTTAGTCAATATGTTTAGCATTTATACGCTATGACTTCATATACATTTCCAATAATATATTATATGCATACAATTGTAGGCTTCCCCTAGTAAGTGTCCAGTGAATAATTTAATAGTACACTAACTTAATCTTGAGGAACTGATGTCTATCAAAGGAACAATTCTATTTTAAGTTCAAAGACGGAATTTGTATTTTCTCAGAACATTATAATCTTTTCATAACTATTTTATATATAATATTTATTCACATATACGTGAAAGGCAAATATTCATAAGAAATTAGATTAAATACAGATTCCATAGAACTTAACTTTACCAAACACTTCTAGAAGTAGTTTTTGTTGCATTTACATAGTCAACTGTCTTTTATATCACAGCAAAAAGCACTAGATCCTAAAAACATCGTCTTTTCTAGAACATTAGAGATTTTGCTGAATTTTGAGGGTTATATTTATAAATATCAACAATAATTAAACAGTACTACCAATGCATTTTTATCACCTGGCATAGACATAGGTCTCACATATTTAGCTTTTAATCAGTATTTGTTATATGCATTAACAAACACAATGATGCACAAATTGTGTGTTTGTGTGAGCAGTATGAGTAAGAGAGAAGTGTGTACATGTAGAGGGAATACCCTTAAGAGAAGGCTCCAAGTAGCAGATTGGTTCCAGCTAACTGGTTTTAATCCAATTTTAGAAGATATTCCCAATAGAACTTTGTGCCATATTAAACTTGAAAAGCTGCTGTTACCAATTTTATGGTTTGTAAGTGGTAATTATAAAAAATTATGTTCTACAAAAACAATGTATATTTTTGTACCAGAAACTACTAGTTACCCACCAATATCCAGGTGCCCCCTTTATAATAGAATGCCCTAATTTTAAAATGGTTGTCCAGACACAGTACTGGGAGTATAAGCCATTGCGATTAGACAAGAAGAAATAAAAGGCATCCAAATTGGAAAAGAAGAAGTAAAACTGTCCTTATTCGCAGATGACATGATATTGTACATAAAAAACCCTAAACACTCCATAAAAAAACTATTAGACTTAATAAGTGAATTCGGCAATGTAGCAGGATAAAAAATTAATGCCAAGAAATCTATGGCATTTCTATACACCAATAGTGAACTTCCAGAAAGAGAGACTAAAAAAACAATCCCATTTACCATCGCACCAAAAAAAATAAGCTACCTAGGAAGAAACTTAACTTAAGAGGTAAAAGACCTCTACTCAGAAAACTACAGGACGTTGAAAAAAGATATAGAGGAAGACATAACAGATGG